CTTATTTACGCAGTCGATTTGAGAGTAGCGCTCGTCGATATGTATGTCATACAGTTGTGTTCATGAAATAAGTAGTGTAACAGTGTATGTAAACCTTCTGAAAGATGTTATATTACCATTTGCCAGCTGGAAAATGCCTATACAAAGTAAGTATGAGCAGGGTAACGACCCAAAGCATACGACCAAGTTAGCTAAGGAGTGGTTTGCATCAGAAAGGATCTACATAATATCCTGAGCAGCGGAAGCAGTGAACCTGAATCCAATCGGAAATTTATAGGGAGACATTAAACAGTTGTAGCAACAGCAAATCCATCAATTAGAACAAAACTTTGGCCAGTGATCATTATATGTCATTTTAACTGGATTTTTTTCTGCTTTTCCTTCAACAAAGTATGCGCTACGTGAACAGACTAATTTAAAATTTTTTTTTTTTTATAAATCTTGTTAGTAAAAAATACATATACAATACATACAAGTATATTGAAAGAATAAAACTGTGTAAATACTTGTACGTAGAAAAAGCTATAAATCACTTTTTAAAATTATTCAATTCATAGTTTCTATTTTTGACTTAATTGTTTTATTTTATAGTTAGAACCCATCAGCACTACTCTTTTCATGAACACAGCTGTATGTGTATGCATGTATGTAAATGCCCCTAGATAACTAACGCAGTAGCAAAAAGCACTTTTCGGCAAAGGTTGATACTTTCGCACATACATATATGTATATACATAGAAATATATGTGCCGTTTAAAAAAAAAATCAATTAATCCCGATAAAAAATGTAAAGAAATTTAAAAAAAAAATTTCAGATTCATAAAATGAATAGTTACTTATATTATATTGTACTTTTCAATATACTCTTAACGTCTACTTGTGAATATATGTATGTTTGTATATAATATATAAACGTCTATATAAATATATACATTATAAATAGCACTTTCTCGTTCACACCCCCAGTGTCCACCACTCAGCAGAGCTTTCGCACTTACCGCTAATAATAGCGCCGATAACTCGCATAAACATTTGCCTTTTTAATTAACAACAAAAAAGTAGTTGCTAAATTTATATATCATCATTGTTAGCGAGCGATAAGCGTGCCCGCTGAAGCTACTAGCTTTTCGAAGTGTACAGCTTTTGTGTTTTCTCCCCGTATCTCTCATTCTAGTTTAAGCACAAACGCGTTTTTTCGCCAACATTTACAATTAGCGTTTGCATATTTGTCAACTAGTTTTATACTTTTGCATAATTTATTAGAATTTGCATGACCTCCAACGTGTAAAAGCCACGGCGTGTGAGCTCTTAAAATTTTAATTCAATGCCCATGCATTGGATGGAAAAAACGTTGATAAAAAAAATCGGTTTTATATACAAGCACTTTTTCCGATAAGAAATTTCGCTGTGGAGGAGAGATAAGGAATGCTTTTATATTTTGCTTCATAGAAATTATACGTGTTTAATCACCGACAACAGCCACGAGTTGTGACTATAATTTTTTATTATTGTAAATATATGTTCGTGCTTTGCGCTTCGGAGTATAATATAATATATGTGTGTATGGTATGTTGACATCATGTTATGTAAGTATGTATGTATAGCTTTGTTGTCATACTATTTAAGCTGTGTTCAAAATATGCTTCGTTTTTATTGTTTTTAACCGTGGTGAGAATTTGCAACGTTCTATCTACACTACAGTCTATTGCAGATTTTTACGAAGCATCATCATGTACCGATAAGTAATTTTTACTACTTAATTGTACTTAATTTACTTTAAAATTTTTTTGGGCTTAATATTCGGACGTGCAGTATGTTCTAGGACACTGGCTCTTACTGTTGAAATAACAAATACACTTCGAAACTTATCACCGAAAACTTAAGTAGGTTAGATAATAAGTAAATTTTTTAAAAGGATTTTTTTTTTACAGGAATACATGCTGATAACAGGAATACATAATCGGAAAACAGGAATTGTTATAATTTCGGTTCTAATTATTCTTGATATTTTTATTTTTAGAGGTATTTATGAACTCTTGGGTCTGTACCGAACTGTTGATTAAAATTCTGTAGTCCGTTCAAATAATTGAAGTGAATTGGAGTTTATTCCAAAAAAATTATTTTAAATTGTCGATAGTTTCCTTTCTTAGTATACAGTTCGAAAAAAATGCCTTTCTCATCACTATTTGCTCCCTAAGGCGCCGGTTTCACACAAACCCGTGTCAAGTTCTTTGTGTCGGTGCGAAAGTATCAAATACCTTGAAAACAACTGATGCCATATATAAGGTGGTATTCAATACTACCTAGTACTTTTTACTGCATT